AAAAGTTCTTCGCGCGATGCGCCAAGTTCTGCGTCAAGTTCTGCGAGCGGATATGGACCAATCAGAAGCAAGAAATATGCAGAAACGAACGAGAATTTATTCGGTGGCATTACTCATTCAGAAAAAAGTTACAGGAAATTTTGAATTCGAACAATTAGATTAAACTGGACCGCAGCTTTAGAAAAATTGGAGAGATATTGAAAAAAAACTTTCAAGTTTAAATATCAGTAGTGATGAAATAGAAAAATTACCAACACTTTTGAATTTAGAGGCGATTACTAAAGAAACTAGATCGATCAAAAGCAATACCACATTATCGTTACCTTCGGCTTTCAAAGGCGAAACAATTCCGCCAGTGGACCCTACTAATCTTGGTATGTCAATTGTTCCCCGCGCATATAAAATCGTGAGCAAAATCACCTCCTTACATGAGTTATTTAATTTACAGTTTATCGAATCACAATACGCTTCCGACCCACAACTCAATGCCATCAGAGATTCCATTAAAACAAAAGATCTACACATTCAAGAAAAAGTTTATGCTATGAATCGGTCGTATTCCCAATTTGTAAATGATTTTTATGTAAGAGAAAACGTTGTCTGGATGGATGAAAAACTTTCTGTCCCTATGAACCTTACTACTGCAATTAACATCCGGATCCACGCAATTCACCGCAAATCGGAGTACCCAGAAAAATCCACGTGGATCAGGGAACGAGTTCTATGTCATGCGATGTAATAGCTTTCTGTAGCGGGGAGGGCATCGAGATCATAAAATTGCCTGGTAATGATCACCGTGCAACCGAATGTCTAGAGCGTATCATTAAAAGTCAAAAAAATTCGATATTAACATTCGCGTAGGAAAACATCGGAACCGTCGGAGAAAATGGTCGAAATGGCCCTTGGCGCTCTCAGGTTTTCAAAGAATGCAACATTGAATATCTAGCCGTTCGAGGCGCATCACGGTCGGGAAGCGAATACGATGCTAAGAAATCTAACGAAAAAATCCTCCTGCAAAATCTAAATTCGTCTCGCGTTGTTAAAACGAAGAATGCTTGTTTAGATGAAGCTGACCTAAAAGTGAAAGATATGCCACATCCGGCCGACTGTTTTGAAGCCAAGAGTGCAGGCTCAACCAGGGGCGCAAATTGAGCAACCAGGGCCCTCCGGCTCTCTCTATCAGCGGACAGAGGATCGGAACCTAAAATGGTATGAAATAATTTATTCAAACGTGAAAACAGAAAGTTCCCATACGTTGACGCTTTACCATGAAGTTGTGCTGAGGAAATTGGGTGTGGCAGTGAAACCACAAGCTAAGAGGACTATGAAAAACTACCGGGAACCGCAATCACCACAGGAAGTGAAACAACGAAATAAGGAAAAAACCGAAGCAGAACCCAAAGAGCTAAAACAGTCGGGATGATGATTCGATCCAAACAATTGCTCGGAAACTGACGAAAATGACAACTGCCAATAATCTCGACGAAACGGGCTTCGGGAACCGCAACACGAAGAAGAAGCAGCGGCGACTCTTCTCCATTACCAGAGGGACAAACACCGGCTACGGAACAAGGCATCCAAAACAATCTAAATGATAAACAAGGCGACGAGGGAAGCCACACGACAATGGAAGTGACAATAATACCATTCCAGTATGCGACCCAGGAAACTCGTCTGCTCCACGGGAGCTTCAGAGAAAGCGCGACAAAGTCGATTAGTTTCATACAGCAGCCAAGAGGCCAGCCAGGATGAGACGGCGTCTCGACTTAGTGAACGCAAACGTTAGACAACATAGCCAAGAAAGAAGATACAGCGGGAAAAATGAGTAAAACTGAAAAACATTAATACTGTTGTGAGCCGCCCAGGGAGAGGGATGACCAGCGTTCGGTCAAAAACTCAAAACCTTATTACTAAAATGAGAGATTTCTTTAGTTGTTCAAAAACTCGTAAATACAAAACTTTTTCAGTTTTTAAACCTAACAATCAGAAATTTTCAACAATTAATTTGTACACTTTTGCCAAACAACTTGTCGCAGTTTATCAGTCATAAGTCCCAGGATTTCAGTCATCAAGTTTTCTTCTATTCCATTCATTTAAAGTTTTTCATCTATCGAAGGAGGAGTGTCATATGGTGCTAATTCATTTCATGAGAGTTCTCTATTTTCAGCCATCAATCAGCTGTCATTTATGGTGCTAATTAGTTCTTGGCAAGTCCCGGCCTTTGGTGCTGTCTGTCATCTTCGGTTGATCTCTGTAATCACTCTTGCTTTGCTGTAATTTGGTTACTCATGCTTTATTGTTTTGAAAAAAGCATTTGATACAGTTGATCGGAAAATTTTGCTTGACAAACTTTATCAATATGGGTTCAAAGAGAAAATTCACAAGTTAATGAAAGACTATCTTACAGGGAGAAAACAATATGTTTATTTGAATCAATCCGTCTCAAATATGCTAGAATGCACAAAAGTTGTTCCTCAAGGTTCAGTTTTGGGGCCATTTCTGTTCCTTTTATACATAAATTTTACAATTTGCTTTGGATTTAAGTAGTAACAACAATTACTTCTACAGATCTTTTGTCTTTCGGTCTGTCAACATTGTGTGATTTGACCCCAATTTGAGTTGAAGTTGACAATTTTAGAAAAATTACATTTCGAAAAGAAAATTTTTATATAGGTCAAGTCGAAAATTTTGAAAACTTAAAGTCGGAAAAATTCATTAAAGATTGCTTCTCGATTGTATTCAAACGCCGGCAAGAGTACCACAAAGCAATTTTTTGACGCCTTTGATAATTAGCAGTTATGTCAAATCGCAAGACAAAAAATTGATAAAAACGGAGAACTGATAGGAAAACGCGGATAACAATTTCAATTCTTGCTTGTATTTCAGCCTCAAGTGCTGTAAAAACAATTCTAGTAGACAGTCTAGCTGGATTTATCTGTCTTTCATTATTTTCAAGACCACTTTAAACCGCAGTAATACAAAGTGTGCCATTTTTGCCAAAGCTTACAAATAGATTAAAGAAAATAGCGGCCACTCTGAAACTATAAAAAAAATGAGATTATACTCACACTGAAGCTGGGAATTAGAAATGTTCTGATGAAAACTGATACTGAAAAAAAAGTTTAGCTTACTAAAAAAGCTCTCAGATGATTAATTCTTTTTTTTTTCGAGTTACTTAAAAAACTAAGATAAAAATTGCCTAGAGTTGTTTGTAGATTCTAAGGGGCTGCAAATAATCGAAAACACAAAAAATTGTAAGAGCATGTGTCATATGGTGCTAATTCAGTTCATGAGAGTTCTCTATTTCCAGCCATCAATCAGCTGTAATTTGTGGTGCTAGTTAGTTCTTGGAAGGTCCCGGCCTTCGGTGCTGTCTGTCATCTTCGGTTGACCTCTGTAATCACTCTTGCTTTGCTGTAATTTGGTTACTCCTACTTTATTGATTTGAAAAAAGCATTTGATACAGTTGATCGGAAAGTTTTGCTTGACAAACTTTATCAATATGGGTTCAAAGGGAAAATTCACACGTTAATGACAAACTATCTCACAGGGAGAAAACAATATGTTTATTTGAATCAATCCGTCTCAAATATGCTAGAATGTACAAAAATTGTTCCTCAAGGTTCAGTTTTGGGGCCATTTCTGTTCCTTTTATACATAAATGATATGCCGTCGGCCAGCAACGTTTAGCTAACATTATTTGCAGATGATACAACGGTAGTCGATGCTCAAAAATGGGCATCCAAAACGAAGTTCCAGACAGAACTAATTAAAATATGTAATTGGTGCAATAATAACAAACTGCTCATAAATCGAAAGAAGTGCAAAATAATGAAGTTTGGACGGGATAACTTGAAAGAAAAATTTTCTCTTGGTAATAATGTACTCACCGAGGTTTCTGATTTTAGGTAGGTATTTAGGAATTCAAATGGACAACAGACTCAAATTTGAATGTCATATTAATAATGTTTAATAATATTCAAAGAAACTTTTAATCAACTTCGTGGTAAAACTCCCCTTGAAACTTTTAATTTGGAATCTCTGAATAATCGTCGGGTTACTCGGGCCTCTGTGGCAAAAACTTTACCAAGCATGAAAACTAGAACACAAATAATGCAACGTTCATGGAAAAATGTGTCTCTTAAATGTTATAATTTTTTGAAATCAAACGAGCTGATACCAGATAATCTAAACCAATTAACTGAGCATCAACTAAATGGGTATTTCAAAAAATTGTTTTCATAGTTTCTTAAAGATAATGGAAATCTTTTAGATTTATTTTTTTGAATCATCAAGTCGGATACTATCTCGCAACTTCTGTCATAGGTTTTTTCAGGGTCATGCCTCGATAAGCTGCATAGCTTTTTGCATGATCCTTGGTGGGTTTGATTTTTACATGCGCTTGATTGTTTACCTGTCTGTATAATATTACTCTCCTAAATAAACTATACTCTTGGATTTAGCTCTGTAAGATTAAGTTACATTACTGTCGGAAATTACCATTTTCAACAATCATCATTCTCACCACAAGGCTACGACCAATTCATGTACTACAACTTGTTATTAACTTGATATCATGAAAAAATGAAAAACTAACCTAGAACTTATCTTTATAAGCCATTTATTTAAGAACTGACAACTCTGTGTAGACTGTTTTTACCCTAGATAGATAAAGTGCGTTCTGCTGTACTGAGACGCATGTGTACTGTTTTGCAATATGTTTTGTGCATAAGAACCGAATTGGGTCTATCTAAAAACTGCTGGTTGATAGAAAATTTATCAAATCAAGGATAAAACATAGGAATTGATATCGGGAGTTGGCTTTTACCAAAATGGAGTCAATATCCAGGGTTAAAAACATATCAAAATTAAATATCACAATTTTTATTATATTTCATTAAGTATCATTAATGATTAGCGTGTCCATAACCAGACGCAGAAAAACTATCTCGACTACTGCCGTAACTATGGCTCATTATCACGCAAAATCCTAATTATAGGTGCTGCCGGTAACCGGGAAATTCACCCTCAATTAAAGTACCCCGAACCGGAGTGGTCCTTCATGAGGAAAAGCGAATACGGACTAGCATACTTGAAGGTGCTGGATCGACTGACTCTGGAAATCAGCCAGTACTCAATTGATGCGGGAAAAAACATTGACCAGTTCATAGTTAAGAAGAGCCAAAATTACCCGAATTTTGGACCAGCTGTCTGAAGAAAAACGTCATGATGGGTGCATACACTTTTATAGGCAGCTTTGATATATAAGTTATAGAAACATTAAATTCATTTTTTTCTGAATTTACTATCAAACGGATAAATATTGCAATTGTTTTTCAAATGCTTGGTAGGCAATTGATAGGGTTGGAGTCGAAAGAGGACAATAGCCTGAAAAAACTTAAGTCGTGAGTTCAGAAGTGTCCCAAGGGCAAATCAATTCTGGTGGCCAAATGTTTTCAAACTGTCGCCCCAATGTCACTTTTACCAGATCAGTTTTGACCGATCAAGCCTGAATTTTTTCCTAATCCGCCTTCGCCAAAAAAAAATACACCAATGTGCACATTAAAAAGCTCTAATAAGATTTAAAAATTAAATCTGTGCACGCGACTGCGCTAGATATATTTGAAGTTATAGAGAGCAAAAAGAGCAGATGAACTGTTTCAAAAACCTTTGTATGCAAAAGCTAACTTTTCAGACAGAGATAATGATTCAAGGTCACCTAAATTTTCAGTTTTTTTGCAAAATTGCTCAAGTTTTGCATGCAAAAAGTGCCCAAAATTAGTAGATTGCTCTTTTTAATCATTTCTGCCTGTTCCAATTTTCTTCTACCAATTATAACTCATCGCGGTAACGTGATCTGAACCCTTACTCAAATTCACTCCACTTCACTTTACTGTCTATGAAGTAGTTTTTTGTTCCGATCTTCTAATAACTTAGTGAGGAAATGATCTGATCGGGGAAGTTGTTTTTCGTTGAGACCAAAATCTTAAGGAAAGTTGCCCAGTTGTGATCGTCATGTTCCCATGCGGTGTGCTTGCACTATCTTAAATTCACTTTGCGTCTGCATAAATTGTTCAACCTTCAAAGACTACACGATGGTTTTTGGTTCTTCTGTGTAAAATTTTGTGTCAAAACCACAGTCGTGCTCTAAATTATCTTGACAAAGCGAATAAATATTGAAACTTTAAGCGGTGCTGTCTCGAATTGCGTTGGCTTCAAAAACAGGTTGTCACCAAAACCTTACGAGAATGTGTACTGCGTAATTTGTTATGTAAATTTGGAGCCCAAAATCTTACTTTTTTAACATATCTTCTATGTTTCTTAGACAATCAAAAAATGAGCCAAAATTGCCAATTCGATTGCTAACAAAAATATCTCAAAGTGAGATATCTAGGTAAACTCTCCAAATATGTGTGCTAAACATTCAAAAAATATGATTTGAAAGAATGGTGTTTTTTTACTAATGACAATTGTTGACTACAGAACTACGAACATAATTCTTTTCGTTCAAGTTTTAACTACATAAAGATCGTTTTTTTTTGCTCAAAGCAAGCATTTTCAATTCAACACAAACGGCTTGAGGGCGTAGTTTAGCTAGATAGTTCTTAGTTTGTTCCAAAACTCTTTTGATCAAAAAAGGACTTGTGATTTGTTTCTTTTGTTCTCTTTCTAATGTTTCACTACAAAAACCCTTGGTCATTTTTTGTTTTGAAAAAATTAAATTGAAAAAAATGCTGAAACCAATGCTTTACTGTCCTCTACACTGCGATTAATTTTATTTTTTCTTAATTTTATAAGGCTTTTATGTCTAATCGCACCGTTTATTTCTTATATATATACAAAATATTCGCTCAAAAAATGTAATTTGCACACCGGGACAAGTTTAAGTTATCATGTAGAGGTTTAAAAAAAAATTCAAAATTGCCATTTAATTGGAAGGAATGTAAAACAATCATTTATGTAGCAATAAAATCAGGGCTTTTATTCCGTTATCTTTGACATCAGATTAACAGAATCAAAAACAGCATTCATATTCATGAACAATAAAGAACTTCAATTAGATATTAAAAAAGTCGCATAAAACATTGCAAAATTCACAAGCAAAAGCAGTGCAAGTATCCTTTTCATTCAATGAATCGGTTTGTCTCACCAGTTGATATCATGAAGTGGTTCTTAGTAGTGTATACGTAACATTCGACATTTCGTAACAGGCGACACTTCGTAACAGGCGACACTTCGTAAAATGCGACCATTCGTAACATGCGACATTTCGTAACATGCGACATTTCGTAACAGGCGACACTTCGTAAAATGCGACCATTCGTAACATGCGACATTTCGTAACATGCGACATTTCGTAACATGCGACATTTCGTAACATGCGACATTTCGTAACATGCGACATTTCGTAACAGGCGACACTTCGTAAAATGCGACCATTCGTGACAGGCGACACTTCGTAACATTCGACATTTCGTAACAGGCGACACTTCGTAACAGGCGACACTTCGTAAAATGCGACCATTCGTAACATGCGACATTTCGTAACATGCGACATTTCGTAACAGGCGACACTTCGTAAATTGCGACCATTCGTAACATGCGACATTTCGTAACATGCGACATTTCGTAACATGCGACATTTCGTAACATGCGACATTTCGTAACATGCGACATTTCGTAACATGCGACATTTCGTAACAGGCGACACTTCGTAAAATGCGACCATTCGTAACAGGCGACACTTCGTAACATTCGACATTTCGTAACAGGCGACACTTCGTAAAATGCGACCATTTGTAACATGCGACATTTCGTAACATGCGACATTTCGTAACATGTGACATTTCGTAACATGCGACATTTCGTAACAGGCGACACTTCGTAAAATGCGACCATTCGTAACATGCGACATTTCGTAACATTCGACATTTCGTAACAGGCGACACTTCGTAACAGGCGACACTTCGTAAAATGCGACCATTCGTAACAGGCGACACTTCGTAACATGCGACATTTCGTAACAGGCGACACTTCGTAAAATGCGACCATTCGTAACAGGCGACACTTCGTAACATTCGACATTTCGTAACAGGCGACACTTCGTAACAGGCGACACTTCGTAAAATGCGACCATTTGTAACATGCGACATTTCGTAACATGCGACATTTCGTAACATGCGACATTTCGTAACATGCGACATTTCGTAACAGGCGACACTTCGTAAAATGCGACCATTCGTAACATGCGACATTTCGTAACATTCGACATTTCGTAACAGGCGACACTTCGTAACAGGCGACACTTCGTAAAATGCGACCATTCGTAACATGCGACATTTCGTAACATGCGACATTTCGTAACAGGCGACACTTCGTAAAATGCGACCATTCGTAACAGGCGACACTTCGTAACATGCGACATTTCGTAACATGCGACATTTCGTAACAGGCGACACTTCGTAAAATGCGACCATTCGTAACAGGCGACACTTCGTAACATTCGACATTTCGTAACAGGCGACACTTCGTAACAGGCGACACTTCGTAAAATGCGACCATTCGTAACATGCGACATTTCGTAACATGCGACATTTCGTAACAGGCGACACTTCGTAAAATGCGACCATTCGTAACATGCGACATTTTGTAACATTCGACATTTCGTAACAGGCGACACTTCGTAACAGGCGACACTTCGTAAAATGCGACCATTCGTAACATGCGACATTTCGTAACATGCGACATTTCGTAACAGGCGACACTTTGTAAAATGCGACCATTCGTAACAGGCGACACTTCGTAAAATGCGACCATTCGTAACAGGCGACACTTCGTAACATGCGACATTTCGTAACATGCGACATTTCGTAACAGGCGACACTTCGTAAAATGCGACCATTCGTAACAAGCGACACTTCGTAACATTCGACATTTCGTAACAGGCGACACTTCGTAACAGGCGACACTTCGTAAAATGCGACCATTCGTAACATGCGACACTTCGTAACATTCGACATTTCGTAACAGGCGACATTTCGTAACATGCGACATTTCGTAACAGGCGACACTTCGTAAAATGCGACCATTCGTAACAGGCGACACTTCGTAACATTCGACATTTCGTAACAGGCGACACTTCGTAACAGGCGACACTTCGTAAAATGCGACCATTCGTAACATGCGACACTTCGTAACATTCGACATTTCGTAACAGGCGACATTTCGTAACATGCGACATTTCGTAATAGGCGACACTTCGTAAAATGCGACCATTCGTAACAAGGCAATGCCAACTAAAATAATCTTGCTCCGCTTCGCTCCGCTGCGCTTACATCCGGCACGATAGGAATACTGCGCGTGAATCAGTGTTCCCCGCTTAATCTACTGTTACCAATTGACGCCTGTTACAAATTGCCATCTATTACGAATTGTCCCTTTATGGTTTTTACGAATTGTTTAGGATTGAAGAGATAACATTTGATTAATTTTAATTTACGCTCAAGTAAAAATTGCAGCAGATGTAGATAAAATAGAACGACAAAAATTAAATATTAATTGCTATTTTTTGGCGTTATGAAAAAGTTGATTTTAACTTTGAAAGCTACTTCTTCAGAAAATGTAACTATAAAATTTTCGGAGCTGAAATAATAGCTATCACTTTAAGGAGGCTACAATTGTGCTCGCATTACTCACAAGTCCAACCCCATGAGAAAGTCGAATATCAAATGATATCAAAACCCGCTCAGCTGTCACTTGACGGACAATCGTAATCCGTCGCATAACAACCAATTGGATTTTTGATATGACACATGATTAAGTATTCTGAAAAGGTGAGTTAGTAGCCTATGATTATTTCTGGTAAAATTACTGGCAGAGTTTTTATTCCAGTTTGACGAAGATAATGAAATAATTTAAGCGCGCGCATTTGTGAAATTTTTGTTGATGCTGACAGCGTAAGGCTGAATAACTAACCCGCTCATTAACCATAGTTGACTTTAGTATCATTTTAAAGTCAGTATGTATAAAGTTACAAATTAATCGATACTAATTAATTAAAAAAGGGACTGTCAGTATAATCCATTATAATCCATTGTAATCAATTACAATGAAGGAATTTTAAACAAATGATTGACGAAATTTACGAATCTTTAAATTTAAGAGTGCTTCTAAATTTCAAAGTTATATCAATTTTTGTTTAATGCAGTTGCTGCATATTGCATTTCATAAACGTTTATATTTAACCTTTATAT